GGAGTCCCTGCCAGCAGGCTTAGCTGAACCTCCTGGAGCCCCTCGTAACTCTTTCTGAGACACAGCAGGCCCAAATGGCCTCCTTAGTCCACTTCTGTTACACTCCTAACCCGTTATGTCTTATCATGCTGCTGGCAAAAAGCAAGGCTAGAACCGAAAAAAAAAGTATGTAAAGAGAGCTATTGGGCCAGCTCCATGGCCTGATGGTTAGTGCAGCCGGATCCCATGTGGCCTACTGCATGGATCTAGCCCTAGACCTGGCAGCTTGAGAAACATGCTGAGCATGTGTGCGTGCATGCTCCAACTCCTGAAAGGAGGAGAAGTGAGGGAAAAGAGTTTGTCATGTGAACATTCCCCAGGGGTGGGGGTGCTTTTCCCTCTCCCTCTCTCTCTGTTTCTCTCTGGTGAGCGCAGCTTCTCTCTAGCAAAAAGAGAAAGAACGAGACGGAGACAGAAAGATGTTTTCTCAGCGTCAGGACCGATGGCTTGTCTCCATGGCAGGCTTCCTGTGCTTGGAGGATGTTTAGTCGTGTCACGGCCCTGGTTTCTGCCCATAAGAGTCCAGTATCACACACCCTCACCCGCACCGGGGTAACCAGGATGTCTGCAGACACAGGTGGCTCCCGATGAGAACCGTTGCTTTAAAGGGCACACTGATAACATGCCAGTCTATCCTTGGCCTTGGCTGCCTGGTGTCTTGCTCCTCCTCGGAGAGCGCAGTGACGGAAAGGGGCCTGAGCTTCATCTCCAGGATGGAGTGTGCACCTGCACTAAGCTATAGGGAATCCCGAATGGACGCCCCAAAGCATAAAAACGGAGCTGTCTCCCTACCTGTACTCTAGGGCTGAGACGAACATCAACTCATCTTGACTCAGATCATACGTTCCTTTAAACCTCAATTCCAGATGAAGTAAGAAAGAGGTCTTGTCTTTTTCCTCAAAGCTAACACATTTTAACTAAACAAATTACCTCAGTGAAACAGTAGGTTTTAAAGTTTTATCACATTAATTTCACTTTTGTATGGTCATCATTTTGGCCATGAAAATGTATAGGCTTCAGGGCACGTCTTCAAGAGGTTATCATTAGTCATCTTCAAAAACAACATTCTTTTTCAAATATGTGTATCTGTTTCACAGATCAAGTTGTCTAAGAGTTACATAGCTACTAATTATCTGTTCTCTTATAAACTACATGGAGTATTTTACTTTCTATGCATAAACTCAGTTTTTTGTACGGCTGTGGTATATAAATAGTGAGTTTATATTTTAAAGTTCATGGTTAATGATAATCATGTCCATGTTGTTTCAGTAAAAATTAGATTATCACAAAAATACACTTGGACAAAATAGAGCTGATGTAGTTGCTGGTATCTGAATTCTAGGTGGTTTGCGTGGTAAAGGCTATTTTAATGTAAACTAACCAAGCAATAAGCTGCAGTTATCTTTTTTACCCTAGAATAATTCATGCTTACATAAAGTGTTTTAAATGTAATTTAGAACCCAAAATTATCACTGAACCTAAAATACTGTCTCCTTATTTTAATACCATGAAATGTTGCCAAACAACTGCTCTACATGTGAGATATTTAGCTAATTAGCGTGAAATCTTACTGTTTTTTCAGTGCTTTTGTTGTCTTTTTCTGTCTACTCTTAAGAAGAATAATTGTGGACCAGCAGTTAGCGCAATGGCTACGTTGCTGAACTCCCATGTAATCAACCATGGTTTGAGTCCCAGACCCAGTGGCTTAAACTCACACCGGGCATGTGTGCGTACATGCCCAAGATCCCGAGAGGAGAATGGAGGAGAAGGGATTGTGGTGTGGCCATCCCCCTTGGGGGTGATTTCTTGCTTTCTATTTCTCCATCTCTCTCTGTCTTTCTGGTGAGCGCACGTACCTAATAGCAAAAACCTCTCAAAGGAAAAAAAAAAAGAAGAAGAAGAATCACAAAAGTCACCCTTTAATAAAATATATAATATGGGACCAGCAGTTAGTGTAATGGCTATGTCACTGGACTCCCATGTAGTCGACTGTGGTTCGCATCCCGGACCCAGTGGCTTAAAACTCATGCTGGATGCCTGTGCGTGTGCGCCCAAGATCCTGAGAGGAGAATGGAGGAGAAGGGATTGTGGTGTGGCCATCCCCCTTGGGGGTGATTTCTTGCTTTCTGTCTCTCTGTCTGTCTGGCGAGTGCACGCGCCCTATAGCAAAAACCTCTCCAAAAATAAATAAATAAATAAAATACAATACATAATAGCATTTACTTGTACTTTTCATATTTCTTTTAAGAAGTAATCTTTCTTTTAAGAAGTAATCTTGGCATTATTGAAAATTGCTAAGAGAACAGATTTTTAGTATTCTTACACCCAATACAATGTGAAATAATACATATATTAACTAACTGCATTTCACCATCCCCCAATATATACATATTTCAGAATGACATGTTGGACATGATAAATATATAACTTACTTGTCAGTGACAAAAAGGAATCATGGCAACTGTTTCTGTGGACTATAGACATGTTTCTGTAAGTTTACAATTTCTTAAAATTGTTCCTGCTTTCCTCAATTTCCATGAATTTATAAATTCTCCATAAAGAGATGCCATGAAACGATTAGTTGGCTGTCTGTAGATTAGGCAAACTTTACATAACAATAGTAATAGAAGCTAACTTTTATCGAGTGTTCACTGTGCTCTATGCTAAATGTACCTGTCAAAGTATATGGTTATATATATATTGTTATATGTGCTGTTTGATTTCTAGTTAATATTATTTTTAATTGGAAAATTATAACTATATATTATTTTTAAGTAGCCCTTATAAGGGCATGAATGTATTAAATAATTATATTCATATTTATATACATGTTGCTTCTGTTGACTGTCCATTTTCCTCACCTCTTGGATAGTCAGTATTTTGATGACACTTAGGTGGGATTTGGAAAGTGTGTGTTGTTGGGCAGTAAATATTTATTTATTTTTCTTTTTTGGGGGGAGAGGTTTTTGCTATAGGGCATGTGTGCTCTCCAGAAAGAGAGAGAGAGACAGAGAGATAGAAAGCGAGAAATCTCCCCCCGAGGGGATGGCCACGCCGTAATCCCTTCTCCATTCTCCTCTCAGGATCTTGGGTATACACGTACATGTGCCCGGCGTGAATTTAAGCCACTGGGTCTGGGACTCGAACCGCAGTCGACTACGTGGGAATCTAGTGACATAGCCGTTACACTAACTGCTGGCCCCAAGGCAGTAAATATTTATTAATGAATTCAAAACTTTGCTAGAGTTTATGGTAAAAATTGTTTTCAAAGTCATCACGATCATAATAAAAAGAGGAAACGGGGTAGGCTCTAGTCTCTCTCTCGAGAACTGACTGAGTCCACATGATCTAGAAACATGAGACAACTAAGACTAAGGCATCAGGCACATATAATCGGGGTAAGCCTTGTGCTGGTGCCATAGGGCTGGCACCACCACGCCCAAGCCTTGTGCTGGTGTGCGACAGGAATTCAAAGTGAGAAAGGTCGTTAAGACTCGAGGTTAGTTAGAGAAGTACCCTGGACATCGGTGTTATGTGAGCCTGGAAGCACGCTAGGGTTGTGTCTGGTCTTGGGCAGTTGGTGAGCGACCGGTGATGAACAGGTGATATTCCAAGAGCAAGGACAAGCGCGAGAAGTCCTAGAAACAAGAACAAGCTCCCAGTGTAACAACACAGTCCATCCAAGGGTTTGCACTTTTCCCCTAATTCTGACATCATTCTAACGATATTTCAGAGAAGGCTACTGGTTGTGTTCATATTCTCCCTGTCTAACTTAGAGCATGAGAGTGTTTCTGGGATTGGGGTGAGCATAACTGCAGATCTAATCAGAAGTCAGTACACTGGGGCAAGTGTGGCCCATGCTTCCAGAGACAGGAGAAAATGAAAAAGGATGTGTTTCTTCTATTTATCATACCTCAGTCAAAAATGTATTAGACCATACTTTGCCCTGTAGAAGAGGATTACAATAGAAAGGACGTATTGAATAGAAACTCACAGCAAACTTGGGCGTATTTTGCCTGTGGATGGTAATTCTGGAGACCTCTCTGCCGTTAGAACCCTTAGTTCGGTGGTTGTCAACCCTTTTTTCCTTCCTCTTTCCAACTATTTCTTCTTTCCTTCACTCTCAATTGCCAGTCTGATATACTTCCATCATTTCATGACGTAGGATGATTATTGTAAGGAAGGGTAAGCTTGGGAAGGTTTATAACAGAATCTCCAAGGTTATGAGCCATAAATGGCTTGAAAGTTCTTCTTGGGAATATTGATATCTCTCTTTCC